ATAAAGATCAGTATCATTTGAGATATATATATATATATATATATATATATATATATATATATATATATATATATATATCAGCTCACCATGTCTGCAAAATCGGAGCCATGCACCATACAGACCATCAAATTACCATTCATCATAATACTATAATAGTCAATATCATTTACATATATATCATATCGCCACTCATTATCACATACTAAGCAAAATCGGTGTCATATAAGCCATCAAATCACGACTCTTCATCATATAGACCATACAGAATATTTAACATGCACTTTACAAGCAAGGAAACGTCACCACTCATCATCACACACCATTCCAAATTGTTACCATGCACTGTATAGCCATGTAATCACAACTCTTCACCACACACACCATACAAAATCAGCATCACGCATTATACGACCATCACATGACCACTCACCATCACACACTACATTGCTAACATTGCCACACAACTCATCACACAAGTCACCACACAAGTCATCACACAAGTCACCACACAAGTCATCACACAAGTCACCACACAACTCATCACACAAGTCACCACCCAAGTCACCACACAAGTCATCACACAAGTCACCGCACAATTCACCACACAAGTCATCACACAAGTCACCACACAAGTCACCACACAAGTCACCACACAATTCCTCACACAAGTCACCACACAAGTCATCACACAAGTCACCACACAACTCATCACACAAGTCACCACCCAAGTCACCACACAAGTCATCACACAAGTCACCGCACAATTCACCACACAAGTCATCACACAAGTCACCACACAACTCATCACACAAGTCACCACCCAAGTCACCACACAAGTCACCACACAAGTCATCACACAAGTCACCACACAAGTCATCACACAAGTCATCACACAAGTCACCGCACAATTCACCACACAAGTCACCACACAAGTCATCACACAAGTCACCACACAATTCACCACACAAGTCATCACACAAGTCACCACACAACTCATCACACAAGTCACCACCCAAGTCACCACACAAGTCATCACACAAGTAACCGCACAATTCACCACACAAGTCACCACACAAGTCATCACACAAGTCACCACACAATTCACCACACAAGTCATCACACAAGTCACCACACAACTCATCACACAAGTCACCACCCAAGTCACCACACAAGTCATCACACAAGTCACCACACAAGTCACCACACAACTCATCACACAAGTCACCACCCAAGTCACCACACAAGTCACCACACAAGTCATCACACAAGTCACCACACAAGTCATCACACAACTCATCACACAAGTCACCACCCAAGTCACCACACAAGTCATCACACAAGTCACCGCACAATTCACCACACAAGTCATCACACAAGTCACCACACAAGTCACCACACAAGTCATCACACAAGTCACCACACAAGTCACCACACAAGTCATCACACAATTCACCACACAAGTCACCACACAAGTCACCACACAAGTCATCACACAAGTCACCGTCACCGCACAATTCACCACACAAGTCATCACACAATTCACCACACAAGTCATCACACAAGTCACCACACAAGTCATCACACAAGTCACCGCACAATTCACCACACAAGTCATCACACAAGTCACCACACAAGTCACCACACAAGTCACCACACAAGTCATCACACAAGTCACCACACAAGTCACCACACAAGTCATCACACAATTCATCCCCGTCGGAAATCACCACACGAGTCATCACACAAGTCACCACACAAGTCATCACACAAGTCACCGCACAATTCACCACACAAGTCATCACACAAGTCACCACCCAAGTCACCACACAAGTCACCACACAAGTCATCACACAAGTCACCACACAAGTCATCACACAACTCATCACACAAGTCACCACCCAAGTCACCACACAAGTCATCACACAAGTCACCGCACAATTCACCACACAAGTCATCACACAAGTCACCACACAAGTCACCACACAAGTCATCACACAAGTCACCACACAAGTCACCACACAAGTCATCACACAATTCACCACACAAGTCACCACACAAGTCACCACACAAGTCATCACACAAGTCACCGCACAATTCACCACACAAGTCATCACACAATTCACCACACAAGTCATCACACAAGTCACCACACAAGTCATCACACAAGTCACCGCACAATTCACCACACAAGTCATCACACAAGTCACCACACAAGTCACCACACAAGTCACCACACAAGTCATCACACAAGTCACCACACAAGTCACCACACAAGTCATCACACAATTCATCCCCGTCGGAAATCACCACACGAGTCCTGGCACTGTCTCACTATACAATGCCAGGTCGCCGAGTGTGTCTTGCAGGGCAACAGGCCCGGCTATTGGATCTCGTGTTAAGTCATTTACATTTTAAATTGCATCACATGCAACATTTTTCTACAAAGTTGTCAGGGTTTCGGATTTTTTTGCGCCGATTTTTTTGCAAAGATATTCGCGCG